GCCTCTGAATTAATACGAATGCGTTATAAACATTCTACTAAGTAAATCGCAAGAATCGCTGTTTTAGGGTTTCTTACATCCGTTAGTAAGAAAAAAACTATTACATAAGTCACATTTGACAATCCTTTTATTTTTATTGACGTAAGCAATGGAAAAAAATGTTCATTTTTTTTAAGGTATCTATTATCTTTTGTATTACCTCGATGAAATTACACAAAGCATATATAAACCTACCACTATGGAATAGAACGTATTTTCGTAGTCCCGGCACGCATATGTTAATAATTATTATATATATAAAAAAAACACGTATTATAGTTCTAAGCTTTACAACTACAAATTTATTACAGTATTGATTTATTTTAAAAATATTGACGAATTTCATCGTATAATATTTTAGTATAGGTTATCTATTACACAATGCAATAAGTGAATTTTCCGTACATGTGATTTTAAGCGTAGTCATTACGAATGAAGTGGGCATTCAGTGTAGTCACTACCTTAAAGGGATATGCACTGGCAAAATATTTTTTGTTTCAACGGAGTATAGTATTCTCCTTTGGTGTTTTATTATTGTTTTATCAATATATACTGAACCGGCCAAGTATAATGAACGCAATTTAAAAAAAAACATGGATCGACAGAAACTTCAGAAACGTTTTTTAAACGAATACGTGTTAATATGCAAAAAAGATAATGTATATTATTATACTCACCACACTGTAGACCATTGTTTTATTTCTCTCGAGTCACATTACCATGGTTARTGTATACATATTATATATATTTGAACACCATCTTTATGATATATTTTTCATCTCCCACGAAGATTCGTGCATGCAAATATCCGCACTTATTTAACGTCTTACTCGACGCTTGTCGCTTATTCTTAGGTTATTTTAGTCACTGTTATTACTTTGGGTGATGAAATACAAATAATTCGTAAGTTTGTTTAGTATCTATATTCCAAACCATGTTTCATAATATTCATCATTCAAGCGTCAACCGAGTAGTGTTAATCTATTATTGTGGATGATACTGATGATAATAATAATAATAATAATAATAATATTAGTAACAAGAATAATACTATTCGCGATTTATCGTGGATATTACAATTTAGAAGTTTTTAGGTTCTTTGTTTAAAACTTTTTCAGACAAAATATTAATTATACACGAGAGTATAACCTTATATACTTCATGCAATAAAGAGCTTGGACAAAATAACAAAATAACAAAATATTTAATATAATATGCAGTTCGAGGTTTTTTATTATCATCAAGTCACGTTGCAACTTAAACCGAGTGATGGATGACAAAGCAACTGTGTTTGAGTTCACGAGAGGAAATTCACAAACTACATAGGACGGCCTCCTATAGAATCGTATAATATTTATCATTACTCTATAGTTTGAGGCGCTTAAGGGCCCGTATTACAATGGTTGAACTCCGGTTAAACCACGGAATTTGGCCGGTAAAATCAGTGGTTCAAGCATAACCGAGGTTTAAACTATGATTGTAAAACCGGTCCTATAAGTAAGGAAACCAGTTTTGTGTCGTCCGCCGACACAATTTATTATTTAATTATGTTCACGTGTTTAGTACGATAATACGCAGAGCCGCCTGTCATTTCTCGCTCCACTACACAGAAGTCGACCAAACGCATTTTGTAGTCCTCCTCGACACAAGTCTAAAAAAAATCAARTCTTATATGACGTCAAATCGGTTTGCTCCCCTCTCCGTGGTTGACAACTTCCCCGAAGTTTTTAGTCCCCCTCCTGTCACAATCTCACCTTCGGCTCATYATGCACCTAGAACTAGTAAAGAAAAATCCAAGGCCAAGACATATGCAGAAGCAACTTCAAGCAACTCGAACAATATTCTAATAATGAATCTATATCAAATATTTTATCACAATTTGTTACACAATTAAATTCCCTCATTACCCCATTCATTTCACTTTTATCCACACCCTTAAACTCATTACTATCTAAGAATACCGTCTCTCCTTGATTATATCTTCTCCAAATCCAAAATCATAATCATTATTTTCACATTAATACCTTTTGTATACTTATCGTTTAATCACCACAATTTCTATTGCCTCAATGCTATTTTTATTTTAAATTGGCTTACGTAATCACTATCTGTAATTGTTGAGCTCTAATAGTTACTAACTTAAGGTTCTAAAAATAAAAATAATAAAAAAAACAGTGAGGAAACCGTMATGTTTACAAAATTTAAAAGCCTGTATTCATATTAGTTGCATTGGCACTTGACTTAGCGGTATTTGTTGTTCATGCTATTCATTAGCRACCTAGGTAAAACATTTAAATAATGCGTCCGTTAGAGATTTGATGATGATCCGATAAAATGTACGATTATTCAGTCCCCCGGGGATGTAATTAATAACTATCATACTTCAGTCTGCAGTGTGGTTTGAATGGTGTGTAATGTGGTTAATGGATTGTTCATAAACATTCTAGAAGAGTATAAACATTATATCAGTTTGAGATTTTAGACAAACAGTAGCTTCATAATATTTTTGTGCAGTATTATAATAACATGTTCTTGGTCTACGTGTTTAATRCGATCATCAACACGATTTATGGTTAAGGTATTTAAGACTGTGGACATTTTGAAACACGATTATTGAGAACTCAGTAATCTTATTTATCTTGAAGACTTATATAATGTGCTCGTAAGATCGATTCTTTAATATGCGTTTGTATAATATACAATATACATGCATATATGGAATTCTAGACAACAGCTGACGAAAAAATAAGTTGGAAAATATGCAAATATAATATTTTTAAGAATGATGGCATTTCAGTTAGTCATAACCCAAAAACCGTTGTGAACGGTACTACGTATTTTCTGGTGCAAAAATCTAAAGTATATGAAAATCCAATGAAACGGATTTTATGCAAAAACGAATWCCTGGTAAAACAGAATGTCCTATAAACTACACCACAACAGTCTGCATCCCTAGACACAGCTTGGGGACTTCAAAGTCCTAACGTTTAAGGCCACAACTATAATCCTCCAATCACGGTGATCTAAATGGAATACTAATTATGCATTAAACAGCCCAATTAATYGAATCGTTATTAACTAAACGTCCAATACTAACGATTTCTATTCAATAATACACTAGCTAAAATATTTTTTGTTGTTCATAAAATTTTATAAATGTATGAAYAAAGGATTAATATGTTTCAATGTATTTATTAGTATACKCCATTGCAAATATTTACGTAATCTCTATATCTAGGTACTGATTTTAATGTGAAATKTATTAAATATATTTATGTATTTAGCWGCACACAACTACGTGACTGTGGTATAATCCGACTGGGAGTTATATARTTSATTTCAAAAACGATTTTATAAGTACGCTAACTCGGAATTTCTAATTTTTCACAGAAGCAGGAGCAATCAGAGATGGATGAAACTCAGAACTACCGTGCAGTTGTCCAGTGCTATATCTTCGACGATAAAGACATCAAAACCGACGTTGCAGAGGGAGGATTCATTCATCAAACGGTTTTCCACGCGGCAAGTGGCCGAAAAGCAGGTAAGAATAACGAAACGCCGGCAATAAATTATAATTGACTATACCGCAATAAATTATTATTAAGCAGTGTGCAGTGTGTTTACATCCAGGGCCGGCTCAATACAGTAGCAAAATAGGCAGCCGCCTATTTATGGGTGTCAAATTTCGAATGAAATCCCTTCTTCCTAAAAATTTAGTTTTGAATAGTAGCAGCATAAAATATAAAATTCATAATTATAGGACGACTAAAATCTAAGATTGGTCATATATATTATATATRCAACTGTTTGTAGTAGTACATACTACATACACGTATACGTACAGTGCGCATGGAATTGCGTCYGWCTTGTTTTAGTTGAAAATATTTCACGATTTAACTGTGTTTCAATTATACCTTCGTATTAAGGTCGTGTTAAACACCCCGTGTACCACTCCCCGCCCTTACTAATCCCATATTCAGTTCGGGYGCAAATATTTCGTATGCACTTCCATATTGTTCCCACAGCATTTTCACCGGAAGAATAACACTTTTGCGGTTTAACGTCGTTGAAATTGTACGACACACTCACTCATTTGACCATTACTACATGTTTGTGGCGTGGTTCAAAGATCATAATTTGTGTCTGTCAAAAAACGCAAAACAATTTATAGTAGATAATAATAATATAATATATCGAAACACTACATGGCACGATATGTCGCGTGAATCGTAAATATTGCTGTTGTCCACCAGCTCGTTGTCAAAATAATCAGCAAAAATAGAATCAATACGGTTTTTTTTCGATTCAGAAAGGTTTGTTAGTATCCTATAACGTAATAAAATGTAAATTATAATAATACGGCTCACACACGACATAATAATATGTATTGCAAAGGCGTACATACATGTATTAATTTGTTTACATTACAATTGTAACACGGCGTCATGGTTATGCAATATTGCTACTTATTTTACATGTTTGCTCGCTCAACAGATTTTATAGTAGGTATTACCTGTTATTTGGAATTCGTCATGAATACAATTTTTTTACGTACATCACCCCTCCCCCCTCT